TATGATTGTAGCCATTTCTGTATTACCTTTAGCAAAACTTTACTCACATGGGATAGCAAAGAGATTGTCCGATGATTTCCACATTCCATTGGGTCACCTCTCTTTCGAATGGGCACAAATATGGATCTCTTCCAATCAGCCAGATAGTTGTCTTCCAAATTTGTTGGCAGAGATGTGTGCGTGCCTCTTGTGCTGCCTCATTTTCTTGAAAGATTTCAATTTTTATTCCACCAACTCCTGTTGCCTTGTTCTTTGCCAATTCCTTCAGTGAGTTGTGGGATAACATCAAGAACATCTTACAGGAAGAAAGCAAAAAGTCATTAAGAAGACAAGAAAGAAGAAAAGATCCAAATGGATGTCAGAAGAGACACTGAAACTTGCTCTCCAAGAAATTGGGAGGCACGAGAGCTGAACAGAAAATTTCAAAGGTTAGCTCGAGAAGACAAAGTCAAATAGTACAATGAAATGTGCAAAGATCAGAAAACCAAAAGAGAAGAACATGCTCATAATTTCTCGAGCTGAGGGAACTGAAGAAAAAATTCAAGCCTCGACTTTCATTATTGAAGAATTCTCTGGGCAAATTATTGAAAAATGCAGAATTTTGATGCAGAAAGCATCAAAAGAAGATAGAAGAAGTATACAGAGTTACTGTACCAAAAGGAAATGGTTAATGTTCAACCATTTCAAGAGGTAGCATATGATCTAAAGCCAATGATACTGAAGGAAGAAGTCCAAGGTGCAGTGAAAGAATTGGCAAAAAACAAGGCACCAGGAACTTATGGAATAAAAATTGAAATGGTTTTTAATATATGCTCTTAAATTATGTTGAGGAATTTCCCTTCTATTCCTATTTTGCTGAGAGTTTTAATCAGGAAAGAGTGTTGGATTTAATCAAATGTCTTTTCTGCATAAAATGAGATGATCTGTGATTCTTTCCCTTAGTTTTATTTATATGGTAAATTATGTTGATTGATTTTCTAATGTTGACCCACCCTTGGTTGCATTATGTATGAATCTCACCTGATAGTAATGTGTTTTTTTTATATGATTTTGAATTCTGTTACCTAGGATATTGTTGATAATTTTTTATCTATATTCATGAGGGATTTTGGTCTGTAATTTTCTCTTTTATTGTGATATCTTTGTCTGACTTTGGTATTTGGATTGTGCTGGCTTCACAGAATTAATTAAGGGTAGTCCTTATTTTTGTAGGTTTTGAAATAATTTGAGTAAAATTAGTATTAAATCTTCTCTAAACATTTGGTAGAATGCTCCAGTAAAGCCATCTAGTTTGGGGCTTGTTTTCTTGTTGAAAGTTTTTTTTTTTTTTTAATGACATCTTCAATTCCTTATTTTGCTATGTGTCTACTTAGGTTTTCTGCCCCTGTAGTGCTAGTTTAGATAAGTAGTGTTTCTAGAAAGTTATCTATTTTCATAGGTTTTAATTTATTGTTGTTGTTGAGTGCTGTAGTTGGGTCTGACTCATAGCAACCCTGTGTGGCATTTCCAAGGAGCAACTCATGGGTTTGAACTGTTAACCTTTTGGTTTGCAGTCCAGTGCTGATCCTACAGCGACACACCAGGAGTCCTTAAATTTATTAGAGTACAGTTTTTAATAATATTCTGTTATGATCCTTTTTATTTCAGCTGATTCTGTTGTAATGTCTCCCATCTCATTTTATTTTTTATGCTAGGATCTGTCTGATTTTCTTTCTTCTGGGGACTGCAGACTTCCTTTTGCTGCCCCTTTTCTATTTGTTTGAGTTACAGGGTTACATTTTTTATTTGGGTCCATCCTTCTTTTTTGATGTGTGCATTTATTCTTAGGCAAGAGGAGTGAGGGTGCCTGTTGTTTAAGTGGGGAGGGGGTGTTGTTAGTTGCTACAGAGTCAGTTTCATCTTATAGTGACTCCATATGTACTTTGTATAACTGCTTTATAGGCTTTTCAAGGCTGTGAATTTTGAGGACTAGATTTCCAGGCCTGTTTTCCGAGGTGCCTCTGAATGGGTTCTAAACTATATCCTTTCTAGTAGTCAAACACTTAACTATTTGCCCCACTCAGGGATCTGCAAGAGGTGGAATAGAGGCAAAACAATTAGACAGGATGGTATTGTATCCAGACTGGTATGGGCACTTGGCCATCCTCTCAGTAGAACATTGCTTCCTTATTAAAGTGCAATTTGACTTTCAAATACCTGAATTACAAAGAATTGATAATAATTTACTTGACTGAAGAAAGAAAGATCATTTGAAGACTGAGATGCTGGGTAGTGATGACCTTTCCAGGTGGGTGTAGGATGGCACAGTCATCCCTTAATTTGATTTCCTTATGTTCTCAGGCCCGTGGTCGAGCAAGAGCTGATGAAAGCACCTATATCCTAGTTGCTTCTTGTGGTTCAGGAGTTATTGAACGTGAAATAGTTAATGATTTCCGAGAAAAAATGATGTATAAAGCAATAGACCATGTTCGAAATATGAAACCAGAGGAGTATGCACATAAGGTATTGTTTTTGACCCTCTATAAATTCAGTTTTCATTTAAAAATGTTTATATGTGGTTGTCATTGGTATCTCTGTGGCTGTCTGTAGGCAGGAATTGTGCTGAATTATAAATTCCAGTTTGATGAGCTATGCGTAGCCCAGATTCACACACCATCAAGATCCATGGGGAGCAGGAATTTGTCAGAGAGCCATTCCAGTTGAATCAACCATAAACTTTCATAATATAACTTTAGGCTGACATTCATCCACAATGACTAGTATAGCTCCCTCATTCAACCCAAACTAGTAATTTTTGTTTAACTCAAGCTAGTCGTACAGGCATAATTTTTTAAATCCCAGAATAACATACGAAATAACCTACTGTATGCCAAACAGTGCTTTAAGAATGGGAGCACGATGGTAAACAAAACAGATAAGATTCTTATGTGAAGGTTATATTCTAGTGTATGTGTAGTGAGGGTTTGTTGTTGTTTACCATTGAGTCAATCCCCACTCATGGTGACCCCTTGTGTGCAAAGTAGAGCTGATCCATAGGGTATGTCCTTTTGGAAGAAAATCTCCAGATCTTTCTTGAATCCACCTCTGGGTGGATTCAAACTACCAACCTTTTGGCTAGTTGTCAAGTGTGAATTGTGTTACCCAGCTGCCTTATGTTTCTCCTCCAAAACCCCCGGGATGAGTATAGGGAAGGAGAAACAACAAATTAAAATTTAAAAAATAATTAAAAAAAAGAAATGCATAAAAGAGATGCAAGTGATGAAGAATTAAAATATGTGACCACATGGTTACTTTTGATTGGGTGGTTGGAAAACACCTCTTTGAGGAAGTGACATTAATGCTGGATCACAGTGACAAAAAAGCCATAATATGTCATCTAGCTACATCTCAATTTATCAACATATAGTCATTTTAGTTGTGAGAAAGAAACAGAGAAGGAAGAATGTATTTCTATAATATTTCAGGAAATCCCCCATACCACTGAATTAAAGACTCACTACTATAGTAGCAAACAATCCATTTAGAAGAAAATTCACACCCTTGCATATGGGTGTGAATGTTAGTTTCTTAACATTGGAATTGGATCTACCCTAAATAGAGTTTCATGAAAGGGATGCTTTCAAATTGGTGTGCTTGCTAGAACCATTTCCAAGGTTTTCTAGCCAGGTTTCTGTACAAACTTAACATTTTAAGTCCCTTTAAATACAAGGCAAACAAAATATTTTGCAGTGTCAAATCAAATTTTTATTACCAAATAGTGCCACTATTAAATGTCCTAAGAGAATGAACCCAGTGGATGTCCATAAAAACTGATGCTTGAAGATTAGTGTTTGGGTAAACTCTAGGACAGTCTCTGGAGTTTATAGGTCAAACTTTTCCAAGTACCATACTTCTAGGGACCCAAGAATGGAGTACCTTTTTAGAGCTCCTTTGGCTAAGATCCCTATCCTCCTAAAACTCAGAACAGAGATGACATGGTGTGGGGTGCAGATGACATTGGTACTAGGTCCCAATACTCTTTTCTTGTGATTTGAGAATCCTTTCAGCAGAATTTCAGGCCACGCCAGACTGAAAAGCAGTTTGAACTGCAATGTTGGTGGTTCAAGCTCACCAGATGCTCCTCAGAAATCCTACACAGGGTCGCTATGGGTTGGAACCAACTCAACGGCACTTCACAACAACAGCAACTAATAATGATGAGAGTTGACACAAGAGATGAAATGTATTTTCCTTCGTATATACAGAGTTCTTAAGATAACTGAAAGGTTTTTAAAATCAGACTTCTAGGATTAAGATGAAGATCTTAAACTTTTTCCTGGTATCAACCCAAATACTTTCACTACATTACTGTATTTTATTTGGTCTTAGAATAATTGAAACTGTGCCTCTCATATACTTTATCATGATTTGTTCCTTTCTTCCCTCCCTCCCTCCTTTCCTTCCTTCCTCCCTCCTTTCCTTCCTTCCTCCCTCCCTTCCTTCCTTTCTTTCTTCCTTCCTTCCTTCCTTCCTTCCTTCCTTCCTTCCTTCCTTCCTT